AATAAGCTCAATTAGAAATGAAATGGTCAAGGCTCCTATGAACACCTTTATGCACATAAACGGGAAAACCTAGAGGAGATGAATAAATTCCTGGAAAGATACAACCCTCCTGGCTTAAATGAGGAAGAATTAGAAACCCTGAACAGACCAATAACAAGCAGTGAGATTGAAATGGTAATAAAAAAGTTACCAACCAAAAAAGTCCAGGACCAGACAGATTCACCCCTGAATTCTACCAGACATGCAAAGAAGAATTGGTACCAATCCTATTGACACTATTCCATAAGATAGAGAAAAAGAGAATCCTTCTTAAATCATTCTATGAAGCTAGTATCACCCTAATACTCAAACCAGGAAAGGACATAATAGAAAAAGAAAATTACAGACCAATATCCCTGATGAACATAGATGCAAAATCCTTAACAAAATACTAGCTAACCAAATTCAACAGCATAACAAAAAGATAATCCACCATGATCAAGTGGATTTCATACCAGGGAGGCAGGGATGGTTTAACATATGCAAGTCAATAAATGTAATACACCACATAAACAGAATTAAAAACAAAAATTACATGATTATCTCAGTAGACGGAGAAAAAGCACGTGACAAAATCCAGCATTTCTTTATATTTAAAACCCTCAGAAAAATCAGCATACAAGGGACAAACTTCAATGTAATAAGAGCCATCCATGACAAACCCACAGCCAACATAATACTGACTGGGGACAAGTTGAAAGCATTCCCTCTGAGAACTGGAAAAACACAAGGATGCCCACACTCACCACTTCTACTCAACATGGTACTGTAAGTCCTAGCCAGAGCAATCAGACAAGAGAAAGAAATAAAGGGCATCCAAATTGGTAAGGAGGAAGTCAAACTGTTGCTGTTTGCTGATGATATGACCAAATATCTAGAATACCCTAAAGTCTCCTCCACAAAGCTCCTAGAACTGATAAATGAATTCAACAAAGTTTCAGGATACAAAATCAATGTACACAAATCAGGAGCTCTGCTATACACCAATAGTGACCAAGCTGAGAATGAAATCAAGAACTCAACCCCTCTTACAATAGCTATAAAAAAAATACTTAGGAATATACCTTACTAAGGAGGTGAAAGACTCCTACAAGGAAAACTACAAAACACTGCTGAAAGAAATCATAGATAACACAAACAAATGGAAACACATCCAATATTTATGGATGGGTAGAATCAATATTGTGAAAATGACCATACTGCCAAAAGCAATCTATAAATTTAATACAATTTCCATCGAAATACCACTATCATTCTTCACAGAACTAGAAATAAAACAATCCTAAAGTTCATATGGAACAAAAAAAAAGCCTGCATAACCAAAGCAAGACTAAGCAAAAAAACAAATCTGGAGGCATCACATTACCTGATTTCAAACTATACTATAAGGCTATAGTCACCAAGACAGCATGGTACTAGTATTAAAAATAGGCACATAGACCAATGGAACAAAATAGAGAACCCAGAAATAAACCCAAATACTTATAGCCAACTGATCTTCAAAAAAGCAAACATAAAGTGGGGAAAGGATACTCTTCAACAAATGGTGCTGGGATAATTGGCAAGCCACACGTAGAAGAATGAAACTGGATCCTCATATTTCACTTTATACAAAAATTAACTCAAGGTGGATTAAGAACTTAAATTTAAGACCTGAAACTATAACAATTCTAGAAGATAACATCAGAAAACCCTTCTAGACATTACCTTAGGCAAAGATTTCATGAGCAAGAACCCAAAAGCAAACACAACAAAAAGATAAATAGGTGGGACTTAATTAAACTAAAAAGCTTTTTCACTGCAAAAGGAACAGTCAGAAGAGTAAAGAAACAACCCACAGAGTGGGAGAAAATCTTTCCAATCTGTACATCCAACAAAGGACTAGTATCCAGAATCTACAAGAAATGCAAACAAATTAGCAAGAAAAAAACAAACAATCCCATCAAAAACTGGGCTAAGGACATGGACAGACAATTCTCCAAAGAAGAGGTACAAATGGCCAACAAACATATGAAAAAATGCTCAACATCACTAATGATCAGGGAAATGCAAATCATAACCAGTGTGATACCACCTTACTCCCACAAGAATGGTCATAATAAAAAAAAAATAGATGTTGGTGTGGATGCAGTGAAAAGGAAACACTTCTACACTGCTGGTGGTAATGTAAACTAGTACAACCATTATAGAAAACAGTGTGGAGATTTCTTAAAGAACTAAAAGTAGAACTACCATTTGATCCAGCAACCCCACTACTGGGTACTGGTACTACCCAGAGGAAAACTGGCACTACCCAGAGGAAAACAAGCTGTTATACAAAAAAGATACTTGCACATGGATGTTTATAGCAGCACAATTTGCAATTGCAAAAATATGGAACCAGCTCAAATGCCCATTAATCAACAGGTGGATAAAGAAACTAGAACTGTATATATATCTAGAACTGTATATATACTATATATTTATACAAATTTAGAATTTTGCAAACATAGTTTTTCGATATTTTTCTGAGTAAATAATATAATATGAATACTTCTTCAAGAAACCCTGCCCCCGCCAGCTCCAGTGCTGGGGCCAAGGTTCCATTGTATCATATTGTGATTGTATCCTTCACTCATCCCACCAGGCTGGGGCAGGCACTTTGTTATCCTGTAGCTTCAAAGCTTTGTAGCCTAAGACTCAGGATCCCTATTCTTGAGTCTGATGTCTGGCACTTCCAGGTCCCCATCCTGCCAGAATACCAGATTCCTGTGCAGAGACCTACACACCTGCTGCTCACCTAAATCTCTGGAGTTTTCTCCAGTGAATGGTGCTCCTGCAGGATTGGTGTGTGTGCTGTCTGTTCATGTGTCCTGGTTTGCATGACACCAGATGGATCTACCCAGCTTCTGCCCCTGCTTCCTCACAATCACTGCTCAAATGTCCATCTCATCACAGTGGTCCTACCTGACCACCTGATGTGCAATATCTGATGCAAAATGATGAAAAAGTATTTTCCCCAGCCTCTGTACTGGTAATCTGTATCAGCCTTATTCTACTCAAATTTTACACGTACTTATCAAAACCTCTCATGGGCTTTATCTATGTCTCTGTGTTTCTATGTATTCAATTGTATCTCTGAATCTGACGACGTACCTTTTTATCTTGGTGTCTATCCATCTATCTGTGCATCTATCTATATCCATCTGCATCCACCCCACCTATCCATCCACCCATTCACTCATCTACCCACACATCCATTCACCTACCCATGCCTCTATCCACATCCACCCCACCCATCCATCCACCCATTCATGCATCTACTCACACATCCATCCACTTATCCACCCATTCACTCATCTACACACACATCTGTTCACCTATCCATCCATCCATATCCATCTGCCTCTACCTCCACTCATCCATTCACCCATCCACCCAACCACCCACACAGCCATCTACCCATTCACCCATCTACCCACACATCCATCCCTGTATTTATCCATCTATACATATCCATCCACCCACCCACCCACCCATCCACCCATTCACTCATCTACCCCCACATCCACTCACCTATCCATCCATCTATCCATATCCATTCACCTCCACCCCGCTCATCTATTCACTCATCCACTCAACCACCCACACATCCATTTACCCATTCATGCATCTACCCACACCCATCCATGTATTAATCCATCTATCCATATCCATTCACATCCACCCACCCACTCACCCACCCACACATTCACCCATCCACTTATTTACCCACCCTTCATCTACCTATCCATGCATTTGTCCTTATCCATCTACATCCACCCCCACCCATCCACCCATTCACTCATCAACTGACCAATTCATCCATGTATCTATCCCTATCCATCCACATCTATCCACTCACCCACCCATTCACCCATCCACTTATTTACCCATTCTTCATCTACCTATCCATGCATTTGTCATTATCCATCCACATCCACCCACCCACCCATCTACCCATTCATGCATCTACCCACACACCTATCCATGTATTTATCCATCTATACATATTTATCCACATTTACCCACCCACTCACTCAACCATTCATCCAACCACTCATCCATCAATCCACCAACCCACCCATCCACCCACGCACCTCTCCATCACCCATCCTCTCATTCACTCATCTACCCACCCATCCATCTACCCATTCATCAATTCACTCATCTACTCACCTATCCATATCTGTCCATCTAGCCATATCCATCCACACACACCCATCCACCAACTCATCCACCCTTTCACCTATCCATTCATCTACTCACCCATCTATTCACCTATCCATGCATTTATCCATCCACATCTACCCACCCATCCGTCCACCCATCCATCCACTCATTCGCTCATCTACTCACCTACCCATCGACCTATCCCTCCATCTATTCATATCCATTCACATCTACCTACCCACCTCCCACATACCCATCCACCCATTCATTCATCTACCCCCATTCAGTCACTTATCCATACATCTGTCTCACTACTGTTGTATTCTAACACTTAGTACAGTGCTTGACATATATTTGGCCAATATTTGTTATAGATAAATAAATACTAAGCTTATCTTTCTTATTTTCTCTGTTACCTAAAACAAAGTTCTTAGTGTCAATGTGATTTTAACATCCAAACAAATATGGGCACTGAGGTCACATGGTATTACCTGGTCAGAATGTACCTATCCTTGTGGCCTAGGATATGCTCTCACTCTAATATTTATAGCGTATCTTCCAGAGGAACAACACACAAAACATATTGTGAGTAGGGTTATAAATTTGCTCATATAAGACATTAATGTGCAAATAAAATGTAGTTTATTTGTTCAGTAATGATTCCTTCAACACTACACTTGCTTTTCTTGCAGAGAAAAGCAAGAAAGCATTTTGCAATAATGTCAACAATCTCTCTGGTTCTCAATCTTTAGAACGTCAGAATCTGTGACCTGCTTCTCTTTGAGTTGGCTTTGGGAGTTGAGGGCGTTGGTGTAGAGGGTCTTTGTGGGTTTCTGGGGACTTGCTGCCCTGGAAGTGTTGCTGAACAGGGTGGCAGGGATCATCCCAGTTCTGCTTCTTGTCCTGGGTCACACTCCTGGTGGTCCTTGTCATCACCCCTGGCTGCCTGGGACCCGTTCTGGCTACTGCACATTGGAGGCGCTCTGCATCTGTCCCTTAAGCTTATCCCATGGCCTTTGCTGCAGGGCCATGCAGCCCCCAGAGCTCCCCAAAATGGTGGATCACTGGCTTGCAATCGAGTACTCCTCTGTTGGCCTCCACAGGCCTAGGGGACCCTAGGGTCTTTGGTGGCACAGTCACTCTGAGGAAGGCCTCTGTGCATGGACGCCACTGGGCTTACATAGGATGTGGCCACTGGTGCCAGTCAGTATGTGAGGGCACCTTCTTCAGGGGCTTCCAAGCAGGAAGGTAGGCAGAAGCCCCCATCCTTGGTATTCCCCTTGCCAACACAACCCTCTTCATGCCGGAGTTTCAGCCCACCTGATACCCACCCGTTTCCTTTACTTTTCTCTTCATTCTCTTACCTGCACTTCTCCTCAGAGGACAGGGTCATTCTCTTGCATCTCCAGGTGGGATATAGTCTCCCTTAGGCACAGCTGTTTTGAAACTCCATGGACTCACCCCCTGAGTTCTAAAGGAGATCAATTTGGGCAGTTTCTTTTCTGTCTCAACAAAATCTTGCTTTCTTCCTGCAGATACAAAATTCCTGTATTTCAAGTAGGAGATGAATATTCTATCTTTTAAAAATATCCCTTGCTATAATAATCCTAATCTCTCTCCCTTCCTCCCCAGGGCAGGAGGAGGTCAGATGTCTGGACAGGCAAGAGAAGGAAGCATGTGAATGCGTTTCCCCGGATTTCATCCTTGTCACAGCTGTGGATGAGTCTTCGACCCTAGGGAATGCATTTGAGTGTCCCAGCAGTCCGTAAGCCTTGGTGTGACAGAAGGAATTTGTTCATATTTTTCATTTCTTCTGGCGGCTTATTGAGCTCTTGTTTTTATAATTTTTCAGTTAGAAAATTATATGATTGTCAAATAAAAATAATTACTCCTTCCTTTCCAATACGCTATCTCCTATTTTCTTTTCTTTTCTAATTGCTGTAGCAAGCAAATTCCAGAAGAATTACAAATTCCAGAAGAATACAGTGGGGGTAGCTTTGTTTTATTTCTTACTATAATGAGAATAGCTCTAGTGCTTCATCATTAATCAAGACATTGGCTAATATATTAAATAATAAAAAGGTTTTATTTTTCTCCACTCACAAGCTGAATGGTGGCATATATCTTAATAGCATCTTGGGCAGATTCCTCAACTTCCTGGTCAGTTGGTTATTGAAATCTACAGTTTGTATCTCCAGCCTCCTCTTGCCCTATTAAAGTTCCCTGCATCCTCCCCGCCAACCTCCCCTTGTTGTAATCTGAGGGTCTTGAAGTGAGGAGGGGCTTGATCTGATGTTCTACTCTTCTGCCCCAACTCCTTCTTCCTGGAATGCCCACGGGGCAGCATGTCTGCCTTCTCCTTCCTTGCCAAAGTTTAACCTCTATGCTCTGTGGGATATGGGGGGAAGAGACAGCAAGGTGCAGATGTTGCTTTTTTAACCGGTCATCCGACTACAATCTATTCTTTTGCTTGGTTGCAGCTCTGATCACATTAGTCACTGATATCCCATGCAGTAGGTGAACAAATGGCTCTTTTTCCTTGCTATTTGCAAGTTCTTGGGGCCAACCTGCTGCAATGTTCTCTGACATGGGAGCCACATCTCTGGCTTGGTGTTTTCGTAGATTTGCAAGATTTAGTAAATAAAATACAGGATACCTAGTTACATTTCAATTTCAGATAAATGATTAATACTTTTTTTTTGAGACAGAGTCTCACTATGTCACCCAGGTTGGAGTGCAGTGGCGCGATCTCAGCTCACTGCAACCTCTGCCGCTCAGGTTCAAGTGATTCTCCTGCCTCAGCCTCCCGAGTAGGTGGGATTATAGGTGCACACCACTGTACCTGGCTAATTTTTGTATTTTTAGTAGAGATGGGGTTTCACCATCTTGGCCAGGCTGTCTTGAACTTCTGACCTCGTGATCCACCCGCCTCGACCTCCCAAAGTGTTGGGATTACAGGCGTAAGCCACTGTGCCTGGCCAATACTTTTTTTAGTGTATATCCAATGCAATATTTGGGACATACTTGTAGTCAAAAAAATTATTTGTTATTTACCTGAGATTCAAATCTAACTGGTGTCCTGTATTTAATCTGACAACCCCATCTTTTTTTTCACCAGCTCTTTCTAGCAAGCTTCCCTCTGGGTGAGCTCTGGCAATGTGGTTCTTGACCTAGGAGGTATGTTTTCTTCCTGCATGACCCACCTCACCTCTCTTGCATGGCTTTCTGGCTCTGTTCTTCTTCTTCTTAGATATGAGCAGACCTGACCATCACATTCCACGTAGCAGTGGAACCGGGTAATAACATGTGATCTTCCCTGCATATAAGCAACCCCAATCTTGGAGAGTGTGTGTGTGTGTGTGTGTGTGTGTGTGTGTGTATGTGTATGTACACATATACAATGAAGAGTGCATCCTGAATATTATCAAAAGCCTTTTGGCATCTATTGAGATGATCATATGGTTTTTATCCTTTTTCCAATTGACAAGATTTATATTCATAGATGTCTTACATTGCATTCCTGGAATAATCTTTACTTGACCATGGTGTATTTTTTCCTTTATAGAGCACTGGTCTTCCTTCCCTAGTTTTTCATAGAAGAATTTGCTATATGTATTTATAAAAGAGAACGCTGGAGAAATAATTATGCTTGGTTCTAAAATGAATTGTAAACATTTCCATTTATTTCATTAATTTATTTTTTTTTTTGCTATTCTTCAAAAGATTTCATTTGGTGCACTAGTCCTAGATTTCATTTAGTAGAGACAGGGTTTCACCATGTTGGCCAGGCTGGTCTTGAACTCCTGACCTCGTGATCAACCTGCTTTGGCCTCCCAAAGTGCTAGGTTTACAGATGTGAGCCACTGTGCCCAGCCCAAATCATCTCCTTTTAACAACCAATGTTGGTAATTTTTTTAGAGAACCTTCTGCGTTGAGATTCTGTTTTCCAAATATAGTAGTGTGGGGTGAGTATAACATTGTTTATATTTTAAGATCTCCTCCATATCATTTATATCTCTTTGATAAATCCCAAAGGTGTGTATTTGTTTTTTCTTTATTTTCTACGTAATTAGGCTTCTCAGTGGTTTCCTTAGTGTCTTTTCAGAGAACCAGCTCTTAGAATTATGAATTTTACTTTTTCTCTTCACTCATTCATTGTTTCCTGTTTTCCATCTTTCTTTATTCTTTTTGTATATCTTACATGTTTTCCTTGAAGGCATTTTGATGCCTTTTTTTCTAGCTCTTTGATTTGGAGACTTCTTTTATTCATTTTCATGCTAATTATTTAACATCTACCTGGTAAGATTTAGGAAATAACTAAATTAGATAATCTGTATATAGTATTTAGCGCTGTGCTTGGAACATAGTAAATACTCCATAGATTGTGGCCACTGATAAACATGACAATAAGGACAAACAAAATATTTTAAGACTTTTTTTTTTCCTGAGTACAGTTTTGAGCCAATTTCGTATACTCTAATGTGTACTATTATAATTATAATCACTTCCTTAATAATTTGCATTTGTGATGGCATTTTTTTATCAAATATTTATTTGTCAACTATTTATGTAGTCATATATATTGTTCTCAAGAGGTTGTATTTTTTGGGTATAACTTTTAAATTGTTCATAATTTTATAAATTAGTATTTGGTAATATACCATTTTCTTTTAAATCTACAGAGGTATAATTCATTGTTTGGTATATGGTATATTTTTGTGACTGTTCCATGAATTTGAAAAAGTAATGTGTATTCCATCTTTAGAAGGTGCAAATCGTAATATATCTATTAAAGCAGCCTTCTTAATTCATATTATTTAGATACTCAGCATCCTTATTAAAGATCTGCTTCTTGACTTTAAGATGTGTAATTGTGTCTGCCACTAAAATTATGTTTTTCTTTTCCTTTTTTTTTTTTTTTTGAGACAGAGTCTTGCTCTGTTGCCCAGGCTGGAGTGCAGTCACGGGATCTCTGCTCACTGCAACCTCTGCCTCCCAGGTTCTCATGCCTTAGCCTCCTGAGGAACTGGGATTACAGGCATGCACTACCATGCCCGGCTAATTTTTGTATTTTTAGTAGAGATGGGATTTCACCATGTTGGCCAGGCCGATCTCAAACTCCTGACCCAGGTGACTTGCCTTGGCTTCCCAAAGTGCTGGGACTACAGGTGACTAAAATTATGTTTTTGTCAGTTTTTCCTTATGTTCTGAAGAGTTTACATTTTAAATATTTTAACATTATGTTATTTGGCACAGAAGTATTTATGGTATCATATTTTGTATTCTAACTTTTATCAGTTTTAATCATATATGATATATTTGGTCCTTCCTCTGCCATCTGGTTATATTTTTATGAATGTATTTATAATTTATGTATAGACTTACAAATTACACCATAAAAATTATTTTACAATTTTATTTTTAAAATAACTTGTTTCCTTGTGGTAGAATACGTATTTATCAGAGACATTATAAAATATAATTAACAAAAAAGAGAAAATATAATTTTCCTATGGTCTCTTAAACCACCACTAACTTTGTTATTTCTTTGTTGAAGTTTTTCATAACTATGTAATGTATAGTTTTATGTATAAGAATGAAATTTCAATGTAATATGGTTTTCTAATCTTTGTTTTTCATTGAATGTGTAAAGACTTACATTCTCCAGCTTGTAAGTTAAACTAATTCCCAGTGAAAACAGTTCCCAATAAACATTAAAATTTTGCATCACTTGACCTACAGGACCGAATAGATATCTGCAGAATATTCTAGCCATTAATAACAAAATAGACATTCTTCTCACGTGCACATCCAGTACTCTAAGTGCTCAGCCATAAAGCCAGTCTCATTACATTTTTAAAAAATTGAAATCATACCAACCATACTCTTGGACCACAAGGGAGTAGACATAGAAATTAATACGAAGAAGATCT